AAAATTAAAAAATCTTGAATTTTATCAAGAAACATTATTTTTATAAAATAATCGGTTATCGATACTGTTAAAACATCGCTGGCAAATAATTTAAACTTGCACATTTTTTTTCTTCTGAAAAATTTAACGTTTGGCATATACAATGTTTCTTTACAAATAGGTTCTCTTTAATTAATTAATAGTAGAAGTTTGTAGTTATTAACAATAAAGTAAAAACGTTTATTTTCTAACATTACGTTATCTGAGGATTTATTTATTATGTTATAATGTTAAATCTGATGAGTCTATTTATTATGAAAAAGTTATAGGAAAAAAATAATTAATAAAATAATAAATTTATAGGAAAGTTATTTATAAAAAAGTTTAAATTATTTATAATTATTTATAAAAATAATAAATTTATAGGAAGTTATTTAATAAAGTTATTTAATAAAATAATAAATCTATTAAACAATCGATTGTTATTAAAATATTAGAATCTTCTAATAAAACAAATTGTGAAGGATACTAATATATTCAATGTACAATAATTCTTCATATTAAAATTATATTTAATGTATATTTAATGATGCACATGTAATTATTAATTGTAGTATATATACGTATATATATGTATGTATGTATACATATTATTAATCATAATAAATCATACACATTTAATACATTATATGTGCACTATTTATATTTAAACATAAACTTAAATATGTGAAATTATTGTATATTAAACATATTAATTTTATCAGAAGATTTTAATTAATATTTTTTATTAAGGATTGTTTATTTAATAATTTTATTTAATTTGTTTAATAGTTTATTAATTTGTTAGAATTTTAATATTTTTTCACAATAAATCGTTATTTATTTAATAATCTTATTAATGTGTTTAATAGTTTATTAATTTATTAAACCTTCTATATTTTTTCATAATAAATTATTTATTTAAAAATTTTATGAATTTGTTTAACTTTTAGCTTGTTCAACTTTCTACATTTTTTAATAATACATATTTCGGTATCTGAAGAGAATATTTAAATATAAAATTCACTGTAATATCTTTATATTTTATTTAAATATAAAATTTAAATATAAAAATTTAAATATAAAAATTCATTATAATATCTTTGTCAAAAAATTAGAATTTTGCAAATAATCTTTGCAATAATACCTCTAAACCCGAAATAAAAGATGCAAGGCTAGAAAGAGATTGCTTTCCGCTTCCTCCAACGCCTACGAGCAACGCGTTTCCTCTTGGTGACTCCAGAATACGATTTATTTGACAAACCTGGTACATAGCATCTTCGAATAAAACCAGATTCATTGCCGCCACCTATTCGAAGATGAAAATTCACACATAAAAGTTTTTAATGCTCGAATTAAAATAAAAATAGTTTTTACTTATTTGATCAATTCATTTTGACTGAAAAAGTATATATCTAGCTAATGCAAAGTTATAAGATTTGAGTGATATTTTTAATAATATAATTATAGTATTATGAATATTTTATTTTATTTTAATTTCATTTTTTATGATTGATGATAAATGAGGACGATTTTTAAAACTAAGTTAGAGAAAGAAAATTACAGAAAAGCAGTGGTTTATGTAAAAAGAGTTTTAATGTTTAGAAATATCAAACTTTTAGTAGTCACATTTAATTAAAAAATTCACTGTTTAAAAGTCACATTTAATTAAAAACAGGTTTATAATGCGAATATAATATAATATTCTATGCTATCCACTTTTTACAAATTTACTGATGATAAACGAGGATGATTATTAAAAGTAAAAATAGGAAAGAAAGAAAATTGAAGATAGGAAATTACGGAAAAGCAATGGCTTGTGTAAAAAGAATTTTAATATTCCCAAGTGTTCGAATGGAATTTTAATTAAAATCAGGTTTAGGAATAATTTAGAAAAAAAATTTATTAAAATCATTTGTTTGTATTATATTCTTTCGTTGCTCTTTACTGATTTCACAAAATTGTGCTATTTACACGAATACTAGACTATAATGTTTTAGCACTATATGTATATATTTTTGGCTCTTATAATATTTTCCAACAATACTAGCATCAATCATTTTTCTTTAGTGAGAATTACAAATACGTATTTATATATATTTTACTATTATTATAAAAAAAGTGATTGTTTGAAGTATATGATAATTAGAAGAGAAATCATATTAAAATAAAAATTAAAAATTCAATAATTTTAATTTACTCGCATAAGACAACCACTTTAATAATAGAACAATAATTTTTAGCATATAAACATTAAATAAAGACGCAGAATAACGCAGAATTTTTATACATTTTATAAACTATAATTACGCGGTGTGCAAATATTTATTTCAGTTTAATTTTCGTGGAATAATTTGAGGATCAAATTATAACAATCAATCGCTTTCTTAATTTTTTGAAAATATTTCCTAGTAATAGGACATCATTGACAGTAAAAATGGAATATAAAATATCAAGAAGTCTAACCATATTCGAACAACGCGAGCATGAAGTTTGAAATCGATTTCTACTGAATTGCTACCTGCTACCTGAAAAATGAGCATGATTTACGACCGAGGTCAGTAATAGCAGAATAACACATTCGGTAACACAGAATAATGGCAAACACGATGAAGAAATGGCCATTACAGAGAGTATCTCGAATTTAAATGTCAAAACTTAATTTGAATTAATCAAAATCAAAATCAAAATTTGAATTAAAAAATTCAAATTTTCTAAATATAATTCTTCTATATTTATTTTTTGTTTTGAGAAAAGATATCCTCTTCGTTAAGATGTTTTGAAAAAATTAAATTAAAAAATTTAATCAATAAAATACATGTTTACTAAACCAGTTCTTAATTAAACATATCCAAGAATTATTTTCTTAAAAAATTATCTTATGTAATAATAGTAATAATTAATGATATATTATAATTTAATATATGTATACAATAATATATTTAAACAAATAAAATATATAAGTATTATATATATAATAATGTATTTAATATATATTTAATATATAAATATATATATAATATATATTTAATGATATATATTAAATTATTACCAGTTCATTATAATTAACCAAAGCTTCATCCAGTAATTTTGTTAATTGTTGCCAATCTTTTATTGGCATGTACTTTGGTTCACCGATTCCTTCCGCAAAATGACAATATATCATTGGCTCAGCAAATATAATATTCTCATCCATTTCCTGTGTGTTTATAAGTGAGATTATTAAATGTACAATTGACAACTACAGTTCACAAACTTACAGCAATATTCTTGCGAAGTGACTCCTTCAACAATTGCTGAAAGGTATTTTTATCTTCAGCACTGATTAATTTATCGGAATATACTCTTGTTGCTTCATGAATGTACAATCTGATCAAATGATTTGCAGTTGGAACAGTCTCACCGCTTGTAAAAATTATGCCCTTGAATGAAGAACAGAACTCCATAACATACGTATATTTTAAATAAAAAAAAAATAAGGAAGTAATTTTCAATAAATATGATAGCGTTTATACAACAAAAACTAGTTTGTAATATAATCAAATAATATAATGCATAGCATAACCGGCAAATTTTCAATATCGGTTTATTATCGATATATTGATATTTATTAAATTACAGAAATATGTTACTCTAATTTTTTGATTTGCTTTATGATGTAAATCCATTTCCTTGTAACTCAAAGTATTGGAACAGTTATTACGTTAAAAAAACATTTAAGTACATAGCATGTGTTTTATGTAAATTAATTAATAATAATGTTGAGTCGTGTTCCCTGTTGAGAGATGGACAAGCACGACTCATATCATACTATTTATAGTATATTTCAATAATTGATTCACTATCTGTGTTACAACCTAATTTAACTTAGCCTTTCAATTATTTGAAATCATTTCAATACAATTTGATTTTACTTATTGTAAATATTGTTGAGAAGAAATTGTATATTCATATATTGTATATTCAGTAATAATTCGTCAATTCGAGAATGACCGGAATTTAGAGGTGATAAGTTTATATTTGTGTTGATAGTGTATGTCATTCTCTGTAAATAGGTCTTTGATTTGTTAATACGCGTTTTAAGTAATGACTCGCGGATTTAGCTACAGTGTCCTGTAATTCACCAAAACGTGATGAATGTGACGAGTTGCCAGTTAATAATTCCTTGTCTCAAATGATTTGCTATTTTTTCAGTAGAATTATTATAGGATAATGACAATATCGTTCGCGTGTGGAAATTATTCGTTGCTGACATCCTAACCTGATGTGCTTATGTTTCACCAAAAGATCTGTCAGCGGATATCACGATATTATTGTTAAGCGTTCTTTATTATTGCTTATGAATACGTTTGTGTTTTTATCCGTCTGTCCCGAATTTTTCACTTATATTTGAAATCATATCTCCTAATGAAGCTTTACTCACCTTTGAAAGGAACTTAACTACTTCTAATAGCCTTCGTTCTAAACTAAATGACTCAGGTTGTTTTTCAACTACCAACGTAACTGACTATTATTCCATTTGAACGGTAGGTATTTTGACCGTCTCTATATATGCAATCATTTCTTGTGTCATCTATAATCTTTTTTAACATGATACCAGATTGTTTCTAATTTTTAACTTTTTACAATCGGTTTCGCAAACCGGCAAACCACAAATTACAACAAACGCAAAAATTTATGTGTTTCTAATTAAACTTCTTTTACTTAAATAAATCTTACCTGAAAGATATTTGAAAGATCGCGTAGATTGAACACATAGTGAAATTTGATTGCTGTTGGTAAGAATGTCGATGAAATTCTGTTGTGACAATACAATGCTGTGTTTAATAATGATTCTGAAATTTTCATCAGTGCCAAGTTAAATTTGTTAACAGGATTTGCTAGGTGTTGATCCAGCATTTGACTGTAGATCAATACTAAATTGTTTTCGGTTGGGAAACTGTGAAAATGAATGAAAATAAACTTTTAGTGAATAGGGAAAGATTTTTTTTTATTGAAAGTTACATATACCTATAGTA